CAGATGCAACGATGATGTGTCGAAGCCACCGGATCTTAGCTCGGCCACGACGGAAGGCTAACGTGAGGGGCTGGCAAAACACCGGCGATTCTTCAAGTCTTAAAGATCCCATTTTGGACTTTGGAGGCTTTACTTCGGAGTAGAGAAGATATCTGATTGGTGATTCTCACAATAGTGCGGAGCGCCCCTCTTCTGCCCAGGATCAAGCTCCAGAAAAGCGGCCATCCACACCTCATCACCAGACAAACCTCAGACAACTCGTCGGTCTCTTCTTGTCCGTTCGTCACATCATCAGACCGATGGCTTCTATTCGAGTGGTTGAAATATGGTGCCGTGGCACCTACGGTCGATCGCAAGACATCACTTAGAACAACTTCTCAAGACTCTTCTCTCTATAGCCAAGCAACTTAACTCACTCCTAGCCTCCAATCACATCTACAGCTTAATGAACCGAGTCTGAGACGCAGACATACTCTAATGGCAGGACTTCGCGTGGTTGACCTACGCGTCGATCATTATCGACAGCCATACACACTCGGTATTCACGTGGAACGTCCTCAGATCTCCTGGCGCTTCAGTGACGCCCCCTCGAAATTCAACCTTGGCAGTTGGGAAGTCAAGATACAGAAGCCTGATGGCTCTCAATCGGTCATAAGTGCCCCGTGCAACAGCCACGGGATCAGCTCATCGTCAGCCGAATGGCCCAAAGACATCGTTATACAGTCACGACAGACGTACTCGATAGAGATCAGATCGAAGGACGAAAACGCAACTGACTTCTCGCCATGGAGCGAACCATTCTCCTTTGAGACTGGTCTTTTAGTCCGCAGCGACTGGACTGGCAATCTGATCTCAGCGCCGTGGGCGGAAGATAGCAAGAACAGCCCGCAACCGGAGGACTTGTTCCGAAAAGTCTTTGAAGCGAAGAGCAAAGTGCGCTCTGCACGACTTTACGCTACGGCCCAGGGTGTCTACGAAGCCGAGATCAACGGCCAGAGAGTTGGCGATTACTTCTTGGCCCCTGGTTGGACGGCATACGACGGGAGGCTACAGTACCAGACTTACGATGTCACGGCACACATTGCATCGAATGCGTCGAATTGCATCGGTGTACGCTTAGCCGAAGGATGGTTTAATGGTCGTATTGGCTTCGAGGGTGGCAAACGAAGTATTTGGGGCACCCGCACTGCGGCTCTTGCACAGCTTGAGATCACCTATGAGGATGGCTCCATTGAGATCGTAGTTACCGACGTTAGCTGGACGACTACCCGAGGGCCCGTCAAGCTCGCAGAGATATACGACGGCGAAAAGTACGATGCTACTGCGGAAATTTCGGGTTGGTCACGCAGTGATTCGCCTGCCGGGACATGGGAAACCGTCCAAGTGCTTCCCCAGCTCCCGGAAACGACAGACCTCATCTGCGGCTACGGAGAACCGGTCAAGAGACTTGAATATGTGAAGCCATTGGAATTGATCACGACCCCTTCGGGCAAGTCAATCTTGGACTTCGGCCAGAACCTGGTCGGATTCATCCGCATCAACAATGTCAAAGGTCAACGAGGGAGCATAATCACTCTACTGCACGCGGAAGTCCTAGAGAAAGAGGAATTAGGGACCAGACCTTTGCGAGACTGCAAGGCCGAGGATGTCTATACTCTCAAAGGCGACGATAGCGGCGAAACATGGGAGCCGCGCTTCAGCTTCCACGGCTTCCGTTACGTCCAAGTCGAGGGGTGGCCTTCCCTCGCCCCAGATCTCAAAGACGCGATTGAGGCCTGCGTGTGTCACACGGATATGGAAGAGGTCGGTCACTTTTCGTGCTCCGACAACGACTTGAACAAGCTCTACAGCAACGTCCGGTGGTCGATGCGCGGCAACTTCCTGTCCGTGCCGACTGATTGCCCCCAAAGAGATGAGCGCCTGGGGTGGACGGGCGATTTGGCGTTGTTCGCGCCCACTGCCACCTTCATCTACAACTGCTTTGGCATTTTGAAGAACTGGCTGACCGATGTTGCCCATGATCAAAAGGCTCTGGGCGGCGTCCCTCCAATGGTGTGCCCGAACGTGCTCATCGGGCAGAAGAATTGGAGCAAGATTGGCGCCAACGCGATTTGGCATGATGTCGTGATACTTGCCCCGTGGGCGCTTTACGAAGAGTCTGCCGATCTTGGTATCTTGAGAGATCAATACGAGTCCATGAAGACTTGGATCGATGTGATTCCCCGGAACAAGACCGGTTCTACCCATTTATGGGATTTCGGCCTGTTCCAGCTTGGTGTAGGTTAAAGAGAATGCACTGAGGGCGAATGTTTTTACTGACATTTCTAGGACTGGCTTGACCCCAACGCCCCTCCCGATGAGCCAATGAAGGCCGTGACCGATCCGCCTCTGGTCGCCAACGCCTTTCTCGTCAGGTCTCTTGACCTCATCACCAAGATTGCCTCGCTCTTGTCACAACCTCAAGACGCCGAACGCTATCAGAACGAAGCCGATGCCGCCCGTCGGGAGTTTCAGGACGAGTACGTCAGCAGCAACGGACGTCTCACGTCAGACTCGCAGACGGCATACGCCCTCGCCATCTGCTTCAATCTCGTTTTGGAAAATCAGGCAGCCAGAGCAGGGAGTCGGCTCGCAGAGATTGTCCGCCGAAACGGCTTCAGGATCGGCACCGGATTCGCTGGGACACCGTACATCTGCGAAGCTCTTACTCGGACTGGTCATAGCGATGTAGCCTATGCGATGCTCCTCAATCGCAAGTGTCCTTCCTGGCTGTACCCCGTCACCATGGGAGCGACTACGGTTTGGGAGCGCTGGGATAGTATGTTGCCCGATGGCACCATCAACCCTGGCGACATGACCTCTTTCAATCACTACGCCTTTGGAGCGGTTGCCAAGTTCCTTGTCGAACGACTTGCAGGCTTGCAACGCCTGGAGCCTGGATGGAAGCGATCGAGAGCGGAGCCGATCCTGGGTGCAGAGTTTTCGAATGCTTCTGCCGAGCATGTCACGCCCTATGGAAAGGTTGCTTGCGCATGGAAGTTGGCTGACGAGGGAGAAGGGCGTCTGCGACTCAAGGTCGACGTGGTGGTGCCACCTCTCACTGAGATGGAAGTAGTTTTGCCGACCAAGGATGGCAAGAGGGTGGAGATGGTCGGGTCTGGTGAATGGACATTTGAGACTGAATATGAGCGCAATTACGAATGGCCGGTCAAAGAATTGTCTCTCTTTCCGCAGTAGGGTCGTGGAATCAAGGACGGGAAGATTGTTGGATGGAGATCCTAGGGACTTTGGTAACTTAATTTCAACGACGTATCACTCCTGAGCTCTGTGCTTATATGGGAGCGACGAGGATGACGAAGTGCACATGTGTACATCTAGAGCAAGGGTAATTGATATCGATGGTATACATTAACGAGCGTGGTAAAGTCAAGTGATTCGTAACTCGCAAGCCCTAGACCTGGTCCAGTCTTTCATCGCACGTAGCCGGCTATTTAGCCATGGAGGAAACATTTCGCTTTAAGTTTTGCCTTTCTTGTCCCCGCGATACCGCATAGCAGAGTTGGTGATCCTCATGTCGAGGTGTTGCTAGCAGATATCGGAGAACTCAAAACTCGCAGTGTCCCTGGCCGACCTCGCTTAGTCTTCGCCAAGCATCTCCTCGCCAGTCTAGTAGGTGTTGACGGCCTTGATCTTAATGGAGTCCTTGGCAAGCTGCTCGTATCCGGCCTCACGCTTCTCCTCGTCCCTCTTGTAGGTTCCGGCCGACTTGATAATGATGTTGGCCTTCGCCGCGTCGGCGTAGCTGGGCTCCCTCTTCTCCTCATCCCTCTTGTAAGTTCCAGCAGACTTGATAATAATGTTGGCCTTTGCGGCATCAGCGTAGCTAGGCTCACGCTTCTCCTCTTCGCCACGCTTGTAAGTGCTGACGGACTTGATGTAGATGGAGTCCTTGGCAAGGTCGGCGTAGTCGGCCTCAGGGGCACGCTTCTCCTCGTCTCTCTTGTAGGTACCAGCAGACTTGATGATGATGTTGGCCTTAGCGGCGTCGGCGTAGCTGGCTTCGCGCTTCTCTTCCTCTCCGCGCTTGTACGTGTTGACGGACTTAATGTAAATCGAGTCCTTGGCGAGGTCGGCGTAGTCGGCAGCCGGGGCGGCGACAGGAGCGGCGACGGCGCCGATAGCCTGGAGGGCGAGGACAGTGATGATGGACAGCTGCATGATTGAAGAGGACTTGGAACAATTGCGATAGTTTGGGAGATGGACGATTGGCAAAATTATTCAAGAAAGTCCTCGACCAAGTTCAAGTACGTTAAATACTACTCAGAAATTTAGACCTGCGATACAGTGGGAGAAATGTAACTCCCTTCTGGGATGACGAAAGGCTTGAGCCCATTGCGTCTTATCCGATCCTGCGGCTCTTGATTCCCCGGTACCCTTCTAGCGCTTCTCATCTATCTTCTGGCCAAACATGCGGGTTCGTAAGTCCTAGAAGGGAAGGTAGATAGAGACGGAGGTTGATGGGTAAGTTATGACCTATCAAGGCCGTCCTCTCAAGACTAGACACCTGCAACTAAGACAAATTGCCTTGGGGTTGACGGTTGCCTGGGAGCTCCCGAACCTTCTCTTCGCAAATCTAGCCATTCAAAGAGAGAGAAATCCAAGTAAGCGGGTAGGCCTTGGGCCAGGGATCCGATCCCACGGTGGCGGGGTTGCGCTTCTAAGTGTCACGCACACTCGGACTTCCACGATTAGGTATGCCCGATTTCTAGATATGCAACCCATCCCGCCGCTCTAAGTGGACGGGCTTGGCCGCAAAGCTTATGTCGACGTGGTCCACAATATGATGACCTGGGATTTTTGAAGCGGCTCCTATGCGGAAACTAGGCCTGAATAAGAAGCTCGAAACTTGAAGGATTGCACTATGCAGAAGCAGGCTGGCGAGAGTGTCATCGGCCCATACAAGGCGTAATAGTGCAAGCCTATTGCCACTTAGATTGCTGATGGCTGCGTGGGAGTTGGGCAGGTTTCCGAACGCGGTGGTAAGTGCGCTGGTGACTGCTGTTTTACGTTATGTCTAAACCCTTCTCGTTGTCGCCAACATCATCTACAGAACATTACCTGTTTCCCAAACATTGGTATCATTTGCAGAGATGTGGTGGAAACTGAAATCTTCGTATGAAAGTCTGCCACAATCAGAGGGCAAAGCAGGAGGAACATCAACTTCAGCGCCGTGGTTCACACATCGCTGGCCTCGATCAACAGTTTGGCTTGGCTTGACCAACCTGGTCACACTTGCTGTTCTAGTTTACAACCTCTCTCCAATTCAGTCTCGGGCCGACTTTTTACAAAAGTGCACTGAAAGCCTGTCGACGGTTTGTGAGTACTCCCCGATGAGTCTATTTTCCTCCCCTTCCCTCGAGCTCTGACTGATTGAGTTCCAATGAAGCGCCGGCATTTGAGGCGGTCAAATACAAAGCACCGGAGCATTATAACGCTGAGTTCAGGCAGACTAACAAATGGCGCGGTCCACCCGGGACACACTCGAACGATGTCGATATCGCATGGCACGAGATTGAACTTGGGGCTGGTGGCATCCGTGTCACAGCTGAGGAACTGAAATTGCTCAACATGACCGACTCACCAGAGATGCCATTCCACAAAGTGCCCGATGAGCATGGAGGCGGTTACTTGGCAATGCTTGAAGTCTTCCATCTGCTCCACTGCTTGGTAGGCCCTTCGCCTATCTTCCATAAGTCATTATGCGGTGCTGACGCTCAGGTATTTTAGAACTCTTTAAGAATGGGGCTTTTCTATAATTACGAGCACTACCAATTCTTGGACGAAGGTGTCCCTGATGAAAATATCTACAGCCACTTTGGTGAGTCTGATATTTCCCGGAAGCCAACGCGCGCGACCGAATCTGACGATACAGACCACTGCATCGACATGCTGAGGATGAACTTGCAATGCCAAGGAGATGTAACGCCCGCTTTGTTCGTTGATCCCCTAAACAACCCGAAACGACGAGATGCTCTACCCAACTGGTCTTCGATGCACACTTGCAGAGACTTCGATGCCATTCTGGACTGGAATAAGCACGGCCCACGGTCGGTGCGGTGGCGCGATGCCGGTCCCAATCCATCTTGGGATCCCAGTGTTGAGGGAGCCGAGCCGCCTTTTCCGCCAGAAGGAGAGAAGGAGGAGCACCACCACTCATAGTCGACTTCAATTAGGGGATAGTATCATCAATCCAGATGAGATCGGAAGCATGCGTTGTTTCTGACTATGTTTGAGCAGTTCCTTCTAAAGGTAGCCTTGTAGCACAGTTGAAGGAATTGTCAATGCCCGTTGTATAGACGAGGTTGTGTCTGCTCCCGGAACCTCATCCATCGCAATACTCCAGTCTTCTAGTCCCCTTTTCGAAAGTATTCGGAATGTGTCGAGATCTGCGAGGCCAGCAAGGGCATCGCTGTAGTGACGCCTAAAGGACTCTAAATCGTTGACTTCCACAACCAAGTGCTGAAACAGGCTCTTGTCGCTTCCCATCAGTTTCAGATCCCAAAACGAGGCTTGTATCGTATCAAGATCGAAATCAGCCCAGACATATCGCGGGTTCAGACCACCAGAGAATGCTTTGGCATACAGACCGATGTTGCGCGCTTCTCGACAAGTCTGCAGAATTGCGGGAACAGTATTTGGTGAACGGCAATAAATCAAGGTGGACTCGAGCGGTTGACGGCGATATTTCGCGGGTTCATCACAGGTGCGGACGACCAAAGTCCGCGGCTCTTTCGCAAGGTGCCATATGTGAATGCGTAGTTCGAATGGGAGCTCTGAGAATAAGTGAAAAGATGCCATTACCGAAGCTTTGAGGATTCTAACGTGGATTCAAGTGAAGCTTTGAAGATGATCTCACTCGGGCAAGTAAGACGAGAATGGGTCTGCAGATAATTGTTTGCCTATTTTCCAACACTGCATCAGAAAGTGTAGTGGTCCGATTTTGAGGTTTATTAAGATGCGTTCTTCTACAGAGTCTATTGCAACTCAACATTTCAAGTTTTGCTCTCGAGGAAATCTTGCACCACGTCATTGCTTGCCTGAACGGGCATCGTGCAGGTAAGACATCTCAACAACCCCTATGAGGCTAGACGTTGTGTGTGCACATGCGAACATCCAATCCCAATAGCCAATTCTTGTCCGTTAATAGTTTGGCCGAATTAGGATTTCACCTCTTTGAATAATGGCAAGCAAGGGTGAGGTCTGTTTCCAGCGGCCCTCGCCAGGAGCACGAAGCATGCTGAGGCTGGAATAATGCGCCAAGTTGACTGCTTCGGTAGAGTTGATATAGAATTTGACGAAGGACGCTGTTCCCATTCTAGTGCGCATGACGTCAATGCTGAACATCAACAACAACCTCAATAAAGCCTTGTAGGCTTAAGATGCTTGGTTGCCAATAGTTATCAATCGTCATCAACATCGGGGTCTACTACTCTCTAGGAACCACACCTTCATGTGCGAGTCGTGTATGGCGTCGCGACGAGATATATCAAAAATATCCCCTGGCACTTAAGTAAATCTTTGCACGTGGTCCGCGCAAGTCGGCCGAATGATGCCACGGAGCAGCCCGGGTGACAGGCGTGGACTCCCCCGCACTGTTACATGCCAAGCTTCCCGTTGCCCGAGGTCGTCCATATTCGCCATACGATCAGCGGAAGCAAGATCTCATCTCCGCAGCAATTGTGCCGCGCTCTGAGTTAAACCTTGACTATTCCAGGAGGTGCGCGAGACGTCAATATATAAAACCGAGAGTTATTGGTGGGATTGGCGTGGGGACATCGCGGCATTGGCGCCCTGCTTGGTGTCATCGCTTCTTTCGGCTCAGTCTCCGCCGAGATGCGACGATGCGACTTTGACAGTTTGTAAGAGAGGAAGATAGATTAAAGACTCACTTTCCATGGCTTTATATAAAGCTTGTTGGCCTAGTTGCGTAGACAGTGCCAGTCATTGCGATCATACTCGTGTCTTTTGATGTTGTTTAGCGTTTCCTAGCGAAATTCCCATTCGTTCCAGTCCAAACCCCAGAAGCTGCAAAATGAGAGCCAGTCAAGCTCTTTCTGTTGTCGCCACGGCGTTCACGACAGTTTCCGCTGTTCCGTTCAGTCCATTCAGCGCACCTCAGATCCGCGATGCCAAGCCGCCCTACTTTCTCTTGACGGGCGATTCGACTGTTGCCATCGGCGGAGGTTGGGGAAACGGCTTCCTCTCATTTGTCGAGTCCCCGGCCGATGGAAAGAACTACGGCAAGAGTGGAGCGACGACTGTGTCGTTCCGGGCTCAGGGCATCTGGGACACCGTCATTGGCGAGGTTGAGGCGAACAAAGATGCGTTCAGCCCGATTGTCACGATTCAGTTCGGTCACAATGACCAAAAGGCAGCGGCAAACATCTCTGCCGACCAGTTCCAAGCGAATTTGGAGAAGCTAGCCAACGAGGTCACGGCTGCAGGCGGAACTCCTGTGAGTGAAAAAGTAATAGGAATGCATCCACTCAACATATTAACATTCAACGCAGATTTTGATCACGTCACTTACACGCCGCACCTTCAGCGGCGGTAAGGTCATTCAGAACTTGGAAACTGAGCGCCTTAGAGCCATCGCCGCCGCGGAAGCCGTGGGCGCGACGTACCTCGACCTCAACACTGCCAGCACCAACTACATCAACGCCATCGGAAATGAGAACGGACACAAGTACGATCTTGCTTCGGGCGACTCTACGCATCTAAACGCTGCTGGAGAGGTTGTCTTCGGTCGCCTTGTTGCAGACCTTCTTCTCGAGAAGCGGACCGATCTTACTGCTTACATCAGGGAGAACAAGGCTCTCAGCGACAAGATCAAGGCTGGAGAGTTTGCGACGGGTGATGAGACTGATTGAGTCTCGCGAGCATCTATGTTCAAGTAACAATCAGACCATCAAGTTTTGATGAAGGAATCCCTGCAGGTAGCCAAGCACGTGTATATACATGGAGAAAAGTGTCAAGTCTGGCTGGTACATACAAGTTAATGTTCAAATCTGTCTCACGCCTAGCGGAGTATTTTTTTCTTCTAAGAACACAGATCCAGTAAAACATGCCCAATGAAAATGACCCTCCAGATACAGAACGTATCTGGAAGCTACAGCGGAATGGGTAATTGATGTGTTTGCCGCCAGCCTTCGCCGAGTCGAACAGTCAGGTATACTAGTCCGGCGCAGATGAATTGTATCCCAGCTGACATCGTTGAAACCCAACCGACACCGATGGCTTCTATCAAAGGAAGGCACACCGCAGTTGCAAGACCAGCGCACATGTATCTCATGAGGTAGTGGCTGGCTACGAACTTGTTAGTGTCAATGTTATACGTGTGGTCCAAAAACACGCATATTACTTACCTGAAGCTTCCCCATTTTGATGTTGCATGACATCCAGAATGTAAGCATTCAAGCTTGGAAACGCAGCCAACTGTGCGATGCCTTGCAAAAACATGCAGATAACAGGAAGAGGGATGCCACCAAACTTCTTGTCCAACGTCCAGCCGTACAGAACCATGGATCCTGGCAACATCAGGCCGAGGAAGACGAGACTGCTTCGAAGTCTGTCCTCCGGCAAGCGGATGCCGCGCTTCCGGATCCACGAGCTGACGGTGTAATCAGCCCATCGACCGCCAATCTGGCAGCCAATAACGTATCCCGCTCCAGGTGCAATGTACAGCAACCCCGATTGCAGTGGCGTAGTAAGATGAAACCTGGGATTGAGCACGTATCGAATAGGGGTGAGGAGAGAGTACATGTTCCAAACCAAAGACGAGGAAGCGAGGCACTGATATGTTAGCGGCTTTGCAGCAGTATCTGTGGGCTTAGCTACAATGGGGCGACCTTACAATGAGAAGCATATTTCTATTCCCGTAGATCTTAACCACTCTGACTGGGTTTCCCCATTGCCAAAGCTTTCTGCATTTCTCCAATGGCCTGAGCCCTGTTAATTCGCTCTCGCGAGACTGATGCAGAGTCTCAGGGAGGCAGAAGAAAACGAGAACAAGTGCAGTGGCAGCAAGTGAAGCTTGGATCCAGAAGATGACGCGCCACGAAGTGAATGTGACGACTATGCCACCGAGAAGCGGTCCAAAAGCCGGACCGACGGTGGTGCCACTCAAGAACCAGCCTAGAGAAGTTGCTCGCTCAGTCTGCAGTCCTAGTAAGTAAACCCAGTCACATATCTCGAGCAGCGTTTCGTATAGATTATCTTACGGGATGATAAATGTCAGAAATGCAGCTGGATCCAAGTATGAGGAAGGAAGTTCCCTGAAATGCCGTGAAGGCCCTGAATAGGAAGAATAGCTCTAGTTGAGGCGCCAAAGCCGTGCCGATTGTGAAGACGAGAAATAGTGTGATGCTGTAGAGATAGGCCTACGACTCAATTAGAAGATTCTCATGTAAGGTACCTGATCATGAACTCGGAACATACAGAGCGACGACCGAAAATGTCGGCCCAAGGTCCCCAGATCAATGACGAAAGGCCCATGAACGCAAGGTAAACCGCATTACTGATGCTGATTACATTCGCTGTTGTGTGGTAAGTTTCAACTATCTCTGGGACAGCCGCCAAAACGCTTGTCGTTGAAGCCTGGGCGAGGAAGCCGCAAAATGCAGCGATGGCGGTGATGGTGCGCTTCTGCAAGGGTCTGAAGCGAGAGTAAACAGATACTTGAACGCGACTTTGGCCCTCGAGGGGTGCTTCTGGATTAACTGATGCCATTTCCGACAGGCTTTCGACGGCAAAATGCTGTGCTCGTAAGGAAATATTGAAATACGACCTGTGAACCCAATTCTAGAGCTTTCATGTAGTTGATGATTTGTCACGATAAATGCTGTTTAGCTCAATTGAAAAGCAAGCCGATGTCGGGTGATACAGAGGGACTCATTCCAGGCTCGCTAAGTCACTGAAGCCGATTCAGTGACGGATAAGCGACCAAGTGATAGAGCCTGGCAGCACCGGGAAATTGCTGCAGTGAGTCAGACTCAATAACGGAGCGGCCTTCATCACCGGCTGCCGACTACCGGCGCTTCGGCACATCGGCCAAAGCCTTTCCTGCCGGCCGATGACTGCGCCCTAGAGTGGAGACCAATCTTCGTCCGTCGCGCCCTAGACGGCATTTGCTTGCTTAGATTTTCACTTCATAATGATACAAGCAATGGCAAACATCTTTGCATATGATTCAAAAGCCCATGTGGTTGTCCTGATTCCAAGGGTGTGAAAGGCCAGAACCAATGACAAGATAGAGTTGAGAATCCCAAGCAATTACATCTCCAAGGTGTGGACACTGGAATACCAGCAACTGAGCGCCAGGGGAGGCAGTTGAAACGATGCTTGATTCCTTACTGCCAGTGTCTACACCACATAGATTATTCCAGAATCCCGCTTCGATCAAACGCAAAACGGTCAAACAGCCGAGCACATCGCATGTCAGCTTTGCGGCTAAAACATCGTGTCTGAGCGCTCCAAGACCAACACTCCCCGGACTTCCGCCAAGATCCGGGAGCCAACATCACGACTGGAAAAGATGGGGTAGAATTGAGCCACGCTGATTCAAGCGAATCGAACTGAACATTAATGTCGTATGGTATCATTGATATTTACATGATGCAGATTCCTCTGTTGCATTCCTAAATAAGTTCGGAGCAGTTAGCTGTTTGCTCCCGTATCGGATTATTGAGACAAGACCAACCCCTTTATCGCGAGCGACGCAGATCTACCCATCGCCAGATTAGCCGAATTGCGCTGAAAAGTCCAGTTGGGTAAAATTGGTCACCTACACAATTCTCGGCTCGGTCGTGTCGGCAGCACACCTGACCTTCTTGGGGATACACAGCGCGCTTCGTCAGCAGAGCAGGGCTTGCGGCCGTCGCAGCGGCAGCGAGAACGACGAGAGATAGAAAGAACTTCATCTTGGCAACGAGGCTAAGTAGAACCGTTGAGCTACTGGATAAATTGTCGCGTGATCAGGATCGAAAGACAAGGGAAATGAGCGTGAAGAAAAAAGCTGCTATTTAATGTCTTCTCATTACGGAACCGCGGTCTCAACTTTTGGCACAGGCTTTGCATGCGTTTTCAAGCAGTTGAAACTTGTACGGCAGCGCATTGTTCTGCGCTCTGACGAAACTTCACGTTGTCGGCTATCAGCCGAACGCTAATCATTGCGAGTCCATGCGTGTACGACTCTTTGATAAAAATCGTCCTCAGCGCGTTTGGGAATCTGAATAAGTTCCCCCAGCACATGTCCAGGTGCACAGTCAGCGGATCTGTTGCTCCAGTCAGCATGAATTCGAGCTCGACGAATTCTCTGGAGAGGATGGCTGGGTTGCTTATATCAATGACGTCAAGACTCGGTTGAATATCACAGCTTCAGCGACTTTGAGTATCCGTTGGTTTCTTAGAGCTGACAGCAAGAGATGGCATTCAGTGATAGAAATTGTCGTTCGAAGAAGGCATCGTGTCGAAAGGCTAGTACGCATGGCCACTAGGTAGGTCAGAGAGCCCATCTCATCTTCCTGCATCCCCCCCATGGTGATTTTCGCACAGATGATATGATCCTAGGTCAATAACACGACCTCAATATTGGCAAAGTGGGACAATTGGGTAGGTTCTTGCAAGAAAAATACTGACTGAGACCAACTCATATCAGCGAAGAGGACTTCCTCGTTCCGTTGCATATGCCCCCGCTATACAAGATCTTTAGGGCTCTTCTGCCGTTCGTCTACGAAGACAGACACCTGCATCGTCTTTGTGATGCCTTCACCACCACTGCCGTGGTCCGGAATAATGCTTTCCTCCGAGCCCATCTTGGATCCAAAGCCTGAGCGAATCGCCGCTGTATGTCGAGACTGGCTAAACATCTCGAAGTTTCCTTCTGGAGTGCGCGCCCTTCTTGACTTGCTTGCATTCTTGTTCCGCATGTACCCATCATTGTTGTACTTTGACGAGTTGTATTGTTCGGCTGACGACCCAGAGAGTATGGCCTTGAATAGCGGCTTGAGACATGGTATCGAGGCTGCAATTATCGCTGTGCATATTTCGACGGTCGTCCTTTGAAGCGCAGATTTTAGAAAACGGGGGCTCGTCGTTGAAGGCCATTGAGACTGCCGAGAGCTTACCAGATTGTTATGTCAGTGCTGTTGAATAGGAAGTCTCCGTGCTTCCCATAACCCGACAGGAAAGATATCTTGATAACTGCTGCTATAGTCGCACTGGGAATGGCTGTTAGCGAGGTCGAGCTTCACGCTCGCGCAGAATACTCACAAAATCCCGAGAGAAAGCACTCCGATGACGGCAGATTTGACTTTCCAATTCAGTTGCACCTTCCACATGATTGGTACTGGTAATAGAGCGAAAAGAAGATCGGTGAAGACAGATACACCTGGCAACTGTTAGTCTAGAGACACGCGTAGCCTCCGTGAAGAGGGGCGTTGTGTAACTCACTCGAGTTGAAGAAGGCGGCGAACTTGAGATCTGCTTGCGGAATGCACTTTCCGCCTTCAATAGAGAAATCCCAAGTGAATGCTAACGGCTGGCATTGGAAGAAGACGGTCACTAAGTGATATCAGCGCGAGATCGGAATGATCCCTCCATTCAGACTGGAGATTTAGACGTCGATCAACCCACAGAAGTTACCAAGTGCCGAAAAGACCGTAAAAATGATTATTCCCCAGATGACGTGTCGATATTTTCCCGATGGCGTTATCCGCAGAAGAAACATGCCTACACTAACTTTGGCCAAACACAGCGCAATGAGGCACAAAGGCTGCGTAACGAAATTGAGGTGAAGGCCTGTGACGATGTTGCTCTTCGGTTCGATGTATTGGATGTGTCGGCCTGCGCCATACTGGACTTCGGGAATGATCACCATCATTTCTGCGAAGATAGTGACCTTGACAAAGACGTTTTCCTTAGCTTCATCCTTCTTACAACCTAGTCCGCACCTTCGCCAACAAGCCGAACAAGAGATCTTACCGTCGCTGCGATCATGAAGTAGTCGTCGAGGCCGACAAGCCGGACCATTTTCGCCCTAACCCATATTCTCAAGATGACAACGGCCACCGAAAGGCCGACCAGAGTTCCGCACACTACGAGGATTTCGCTGCCTCTATTGATGTCGGGTGGAAAGGGGACCGAGTCGTCCATGGCGGACTAGCCTGCAGGGACAGCCTTGGAAGCAGTGATTCGGAAGTGCAAACAAGACTTCTTGGTGATTGAACAAAGTCTTGGTTTCCTTCCCCAGCTCAAGATGGCCCGCATCAGCTGGGCCACGCTGTCACTTTGTGGCACATGGCTCATGTTTTCCTTTCACCATTTGAGTTATCTCCTTTAGGTTGAAGGCCTGGGAATATAATGATATTTGCCCACTCTCGGTGATTGACTCAGTATCCTGCGAAGAATTTGACACCATATTCCAGGGGTCACCGTAGATCAATCAGAGCTGCGGAGTACATCTTGTCAAAGTTGGTCAAAGTTTCCAACATGGTCCATCTTTAAACAGATCCGCATCCGTACCACATCACGAACATGTTGGCAGGGGTGGCATCCTTCAACGGGTCTATCAAAGTGCCTATCTCATATGCACCTGCAATCCAGCGAATGGATCTCTCACCACAGGAATATGTTAGAACAGGACTGGTCATGCTCGCAATGGGGTCCGATGTGGTGGTGCATCATTCGGAGATCAGGCTGCATCTGTACAGTTACTTGCCAATATCCGATTGCGGCAGTCAGAACTGCCGGCTCAAGAACCGTTGGCTTAGGTCAGGGGTAAGTCATGCTCAGGATAACACAGTAGCAGCGATTGGTAGGTACCAACACTCATTGAATCTCACATTTGCCCTGCTCGAGAGGTTATCCTCGACTTATTTTCGACGGGGACAGCCGCGTCGCATGCTAGCTGCCTTTTGCGACATTAATTGGTGTCAACTGGGCCTTGCCAACTGGGTATTATGTATGACCGAAAACTTTGACCGGCCTGGCATCGTCTGTTCTGTGATGCCTGTAGTGTAATTGCACATTGCGCTTTTCAAGCTACGAATACTCACCAACTCGTCCTTCACCGGAGAATTGATCGCTGCAGTGACGAATGCAACTAGGCACAGTGCAAGGATTGAACCGACGGGATACTGGAACGATCAATGCGTTCCATCGTGTTCATGTTGACGCAACTTGTATTTTTGATCAGACGCTCCACACTAAACTCACACAATACACATACAATTTCCCCTCGGGTTCGAAGCCTTGCGGCAGGAATACGTAAAAAAACCTGGCTTTGGGATGGCTGAGCGAAATCTCTTGACATCTACTTCTTAACGTTCATTTTCAAAGCGATAGGTCAAGCCCGGGGTCAGGAAATTACCCGAGTAGGCTCCATGACCGAGGTACTTCAGGTCCCGGGCAACTTGGAGCCCCGGAAGACAGAACGGCTAAGAAGTGACTCATGAGGACTACGACGAGCAATTCAGTGGCTAGGAAAGACTCTGTCATTCCAATACGACTCGAACAACTTGACCATATACATCTTTGAGGGTGGTGTGCCGGCCATCAAAGATTCTTGAGTATGCGCCGTCCATTTGCTGACTCCGGCGCCCCGCTCTCCCCCCGGTATATCTAACGGTGTCTGCACCGGGGTACGGCAGGGCGGCACAGGCGGAAAGTGAGGTAAGCATGCGGTGAGCTTGGTGAGGTCTTTGAGATAGTTGAAAATTGAGTTGGTTGGTTCGGATACAGCCAGACTTCTTGCCTTGCCACTCCACCGCAACATCGCAGGCATCTTGCATACAGCGCCGCAGACCTGCATCGGTTGCCGACTCAAAATGATTTAGCATATTTTGATCGAGCCACTGAAGCTTCCTATCGAAATGACTGTGGAAATTCTCCAACTTACCGGCATGGTGGTCCGCAAGACCCCTGCTGCGTGCGCTACTACGCTCGCCTTTATTAGTCTCGGTAACTGCTGGTCAGTGCCGCTGTCTCTCCCAACCTTTGTCGTGGCCAGAGCGACAAACACCTTCTTGTGATCTGCATCTCATTTCAATTTGACAGAGCTGTGCAACATGAAGGTTTCGTCCGTCCTCTCATCAGCCGCCCTGGCATCGGTCGTGTTCGCCGCGCCTTCGGTCAAGCCACGCGGCGACTCAACCACAGACGGGGCTCAGTTTGCCGATCTCACTGCCAGCATCCAAGCTAATGTGTTCAAGTCACTAGATGAGCGGGAGGCCAGGTTGAAAAAGCGCGGTGAATCAGCCAACTGCACGACAAGCAACATGGTCTTCCGTCGGGAGTAGTAAGTGCTGGAACTTGGGCTCAAAATCATAGCCGATGACTGACAAGCAAATAGTGGCTCGCTTTCATTGACCGAGAGGCTTTCTTATGTGAACGCCGTCAAGTGTCTTCAAAGCCTGCCGCCACGAACGCCGGCTAATGTCTCCTCTGGTGCTCGATCTCGGGTATGTAATATCATCCCACGGCTTTGTCCGAACTTTTTTTGCGGTAACCCGGACTCGACTGACTCGCTACACAGTTTGATGACTTTGTCGTGACCCATATTCAGCAGACCATGACGATCCACTACACGGGTAACTTTATGCCATGGCATCGCTGGTTCGTGCATCTCTACGAGAAGGCTTTGCGCGAGGAATGTGGCTACACCGGCTATCAACCTGTGAGTTTAGACCAAATCTTGACGGTTGATTTCCTTTCGCTCATTGTGAGATATCAGTACTGGGACTGGCCTAAGTACGCTTCTGCGCCTGAATTATCCCCTATCTTCAACGGGGACCCTTACAGTCTCGGCGGAAACGGCGAGTACATCCCCCATGATGGGCCTGTCATTGAGCCTCCCGTGGGAATTGGCGGCTCAAGCATCCAGCTGCCTGCTGGTGTCGGCGGAGGTTTCGTGACTACTGGGCCTTTTGCAAACATGTCTGTCAATCTTGGCCCGGTCGGTGGCCTTGAGGGCACAGCGCCCGGGCCGGACGGTGGCCTGGGCTACAACCCTCGCGGTTTGAAGCGCGACGTGGGCCCGGCTATGAACCAAAGATACGCGAACTACACAACGGTGTTGAGTGAGTACCTCTGCCAGCGCCTATCAAGTGATGACCGATGCTGATGGACCCTCAGACTTGTTGCTCAAGCCCAACATCTCGGAATATAGGCTTTTGAGCGAGGGAGTTCCTTACACCCCTGAGATTGGACCTCATGGAGGAATGCACTATGCCATCTCCGGTGATCCAGGCGCGGACCTTTTCACGTCCCCTGGCGACCCTGCATTCTGGGTTCATCACGGTATGATGGACCGCATGTGGACTTTTTGGTAAGTCTTCCATTCGGGTAAATCATGGTATCCAATGGACTCTTCTAACATCTGGCTCTAAGGCAAGCGCTGGATCCTGCCGCACGTCAACAGGAATTGAACGGAGGTGATTACGGTCACATTACCTGGGCCAACAGCCCGCCATCCGCGAAAACTCAACTCACGGATGTCATTGATATGGGATACACGGGTCCCTCAATCAAGATTGCAGATGTGATGGACACCTTGTCAGGACCATTCTGTTACTTCTACCTTTGAGTATCCGACAAACACGGCAATGCCGACACAGCTCAGGGTCTGGACGAACATCGGCTGCTTATTCGATGAACATGGAATGATAGACTGAAAGGTATTACATAGTATCTAATGATGTAAGTATGAAGCTATGAAGATACGATATCACGCGATGAAGGGTGGCGATCTTGATGTATGCTGCATGAAGACGATAATAACACGCTATAAGACGCATTTCCACTTCCTTTTGAGCAAGCTATCTAAGTATTGTAGGGCATTAAAGTACCCAGCACACCTCAACTAACCCAGCATAGACTTCAACCATGTTGGAGGCCCCTTCTCAGAGTCGTGCCCCTCAACACCCTTATGCGAGCCCTCGATGATTTCGGTATCAAGCGGCAAAACTCCCAGCTTCCTTGCTTCGTCATCAGTGAAAGTCGCATAGTAGTCCACCTCATCAATAACACCGGCTTCAGGAGGGGGCCAGATGGTGTTGATGCCCAGATGTAACAAGAACGATATGGCGAAACCTAGTGGAAACGCTAGGTAGTAAAGATTGATCCAGCCCTCAGCAACTTTGACGCTATCAGGTGTAACGCTAGCAGCAAAACCTGGGAGCTGTGTCGCAAAGCCGCACACCCAGGCGACGAAGGTTCTAAGGTTGAACCCCTTGCAGTAGTAGAAAGAGCCATCTGGACGAGGGTGGTAGAGGTCTGACAGCTTGATTCTGCGTTTGCGGATGATGAAGTAGTCGCAGATTTGGATGCCGATGATGGGACCAAGAAAGACACTGTAAGCGGAGAGAACGCTGATGAAGACCGCCGCCGATGACAAGAGTTCCCATGGGCAGAGCGCAATACTCAGCACGAGACCGATGTAAGCGCCGCGTCTGATGTTGATGTACCGACAGAACAGACCAGACAGATCCATGCCAGCGGAGAAAGCATTATCAACAGAGTTGATACTCAGTTGGATACAGAGGAGACCAAGCCCAGCGAAAAAGGCGCCTGCGCGGCTTTTGGCGTTGTAATTCGAATCTAGCCATGCTTGGACGATCAAGGGCGGGTTCCAGATTGGCTCGCCGTAGATGACGCCAGTTGCCGAAGCTGCCAAGCAGCCAAAGGTAGGGAAGATGGCTCCAAAGAAGATGATGCTGAACCATTGTCCGAAAACCTGGTCTCCAGGCTTCCGAGCAAAGCGACAGTAATCCGGCTGGTTGGTCAATCCGACAGCAATACTACCGATAACGGTAGTGATGCCATGGACGATTTGCCAGCCGAGTTCGCTTGAGGACATTTGCTTTGACCCTTGGCGGACTAGAGACCCTGCTTCGCCGGCTGTTGCCAGAGCCCAAATCATGATGGATATTAGTGTTATTGAGGAGATGATGTTGAAAGCCAGAAGGAGTTTCTGGATCCTCTCAGGCCGAATGTAGAGGATGGGAATAAGGAGCACGTTGAAAATGATCCAACCGATGAAGTCTTTGGTGGTAAGGTGTGAGGACTCGGGGAACACGTTGCCTAATGATTCGAACGATGGGAAAATTGCCGAAAGACTGAAATTCGCAAGCATTAGGTCACACAGAGGCGATTGATGTTTTGTTTGAGAGGTACTCACCAGTTGACAACTGTCAAACCTCCGGTCCACGACTGCACAGCAAACCACACCAAACTGAGAATGATTCTCTGAATGAGGATTATGTACTGCCCGTACACGCCCCAGATGTACCGGGAAACGACTGGAAATCCGATGTGCCAATGTGCGCCGACATGTCCGTTAAAGATGGCAACAAGGGCAATAATTACTTTGCCAATGACAATGGCAATCACGCTTTGCCAGACAGAGAGTCCAGCAGCGACGAGAGATGCTCCGAGTTGCCAATTGGAGACTATCACTCTGTTAGCTTGCCCAATGAGTTTATCATGAATAATTTTTCACTGACTTGCAACCTGGTTAGTCAACCAGAATGATATGAAAGTTGAAGTTGTCCATCTTCTACGGTTTGGAGGAAGGGGTCTGATGTCTTCGTTAATCCACACGTTTGATTCAGCTACATCAGTGTCGGGCAGCCGAGCCCATCTCAAAAATCCACGGAGACTCATGGTAATAGTAACGAATCCATGGGACTTGCACAAAGACTCCCAATGACTTCGCGGCCGGGTGAGGGACATTCGCTTGGTTTAATGATTCCGCAGGCGACGAGAGTCCACGCTCACGCGCATCCTGGATGCAGTTCCTCCATATCGGTAATGCTTCTGGTACGTTGCATTGGCGCCCGCTTGGCAGACCTTCGCGTCATCCAAAACCTCGGCCGATAACCTAGACACCCGCGTTTGGTATGCGTAGCTATCAACTTAGGCTATTTCTTATCGTTGGAGAATGCCTCCAAACACACCTTAGGTGTGAAGCTCTTATCATAGTTTCACGCGAGGGTGGAGCAAAGCCGGTGATAAGAACGGCATTGGGCAAAGTCTGGAGATCAACAAACCCAGGGGATCCAAGTTTACCCCGCAACATCATCGTTCGGCATCTGGTGTCCGGACCTCTAACTGCATGGTTGCACGGAGTAGCCAAGCGGCTGTACCTGCCCGATTATCATTCATTATCTATCCTTTGCGCCGTCTTAAAGACTAGTGGCAGACAGTATCTGGCCGTGGCCGTGGTCTTGGGAGCCCATTTAACCGCTTCATCCGCTCAGGCGGCATGCCTGTGGGATGATCTCCGACGACACGAGCTTTGGCCAAGAGCTTGCGACGTTGCCATTCGGGGTTTGCTGACACGAATAGCTTGGAGCTAAAGGAATGAGCGCTGATTAGGTATATGAGACTGGGACAGTCATACCCAACTAAGTGATTGAACTGAAGACCTGGAGAAGAGCAACAAGCTGGTGATATCGCAACAAACAGAGCTGTTGTGCGACCAAAGTACCAACATGGGAGAGATGCCACCATCACAACGTACTGTTCGAATTGGAGTTGATGTTGGAGGTGAGTCTGAAAGCTCCAACCGTCAGCTCAAAACACAATGAGTGTCTCAACCCGGAAACAAAATTTTACATATTGAAGAGACTCAATTTCTCAAAACGAGACCTCGCTGATAATGTGTTTTCGAAGGAACGAATACGGATGCCGTCGCAATCGATTTAAGTCTCCAAAATACTGCGGACCGCGGGGTTCTAGCGCACTTCAAAACTCCCACCACCCCCGATGCAAGCGCAGGCATCGAGACCGCCGTAAGCACTGTGCTCGCCGCCGCCGGCTTGACAGACTCGCCGGAACGAATCGCAAGTGTGACCATTGGAACAACACACTTTATCAATGCAGTCATCGAGCGTGATGTTCGCCGCCTGCAGCGTGTGGGCGTTCTACGGCTCAGCAAATCCTTCTTGCGCGAGGTGCCCGCTTTCGCCGAGTTTCCTCCAGACCTAGCAGCTGTGATCCAGTCTTACGTTGGCATCGTCGACGGAGGATTACACATTGACGGCTCACAAGAGGCGCCAGTGGTAGAATCTCAGGTTGTTGCCGAGTGCGCCAAGATCCGCGAGAGTGGCGTCGGCGCTGTTGTGGTATCTGGTGTCTACTCACCTATCGACGAAGTCTTTGGGCAGGAGGAGAAGGTTCGCGACATCATTCTCCGCGAAGTACCTGGCGTAGATGTTGTGTGCAGCAAGGAGGCGAGTGCGAGCATTGGCTTCATTGAGCGAGAGAATGCCGCTATCCTGAACGGTGCTATCTTGCGCTATGCAAGGAAGACTGTGAGCAGATTCCGTCTCGCAATGAAGAGACTTAGCCTCTCTTGCCCTCTCTTTTTGACGCAAAACGATGGCACCATCCTTGACGCGGCGTCTGCGGCCAAGATCCCAATCCGCACATTCTCGAGCGGTCCCACAAACTCAATGCGTGGAGCGGCGTATCTTGCAGGTCTAGACACTGGCGGTGATAGTTCCGCTATTGTGGTAGACATTGGCGGGACGACATCTGACGTCGGCGTCCTGCTTCCTTCAGGCATGCCTAGACAAGCATCGGCGTACGTCACCGTGGCTGGAGTAAGAGTCAATTACTCTATGCCTCACCTCCACTCCGTCGGTCTCGGAGGAGGCTCCATTGTCAGAAACGTGGATGGCAAAGTCAAAGTTGGCCCAGAATCTGTCGGACTCGAGCTGACCACACTCGCACTTGTCTTCAGCGGAGATGTTTGCACGACGACAGACATCGCAGTCGCAGCTGGCAAAGCAGTCGTGGGAAAAGCTGAGCACGCCAAGAGCCTAGACACTACCTTTGTGGAAGAGGCAATCCTCCGCATTCAGGCACTTCTGGAGGGTGCTGTTGACGTTATCAAGACTTCACCCGAACCCGTCCCGGTACTCCTTGTGGGCGGAGGCGCCATTCTATCACCGGAAAGTCTGAAAGGTGCCTCCAAGCTCGTCCGACCGCCGTTCCACGATGTCGCCAACGCTGTCGGAGCAGCCATCGCACGTGTATGCGGCGCTGTTGACATCGTGCAAGGTACAACTCACCAGACAGAAGGGCAAGCCATCGAGAACGCCAAAAAGATGGCCGTCGAGCGCGCTATTGCTGCTGGTGCGATCCCGGAAAGCATCAAGATTGCCGAAATCGAGACGATGCCACTGCAATACGTCGCCAACCAGATCCGAACACTTGTCAAAGCAGTTGGTGACATTGACCTCCATGCCAAGTTGGAAGAGGTTCTCGAGGACTCAGAGGAAGAGGACGGCGAGGAGCAGGTTGAAGCGACTAAAGACTTGACGCGGGCAACCGTGGAAGAAGAAAAGACTGACCCAGCCAAGTACAAGCCGACCGTTACTCGGAATACAAGCGGTGTTTCGGAATGGCATATCACTGAAACTGACTTGGAATATCTTGCCGATGGCTGTTACGTGCTGGGATGTGCAGGTGGTGGAAGCCCGGCCGCGTCGAAGATCCAGCTTCGGAATATGCTCAGAGCCGGACACAAGATGCGTGTCATTGAGCCATCCTCACTGAAAGATTCAGACGTCATCTACT